CTCCAGCTGTCCTCTTCTGGACAGTAGATGGACATCATGACTGTGTCTCCCATTCCCTGGCTCCTCTCCTGGTCTCTACTACTAACCTCCACCCTCCACCCCTCCAATCAACCCGACTTCCTCTGGCCCTGCTGTCTTGAGCATGTCCTGCGTGAAACAGAACCACTGGTAAAAATCCCCAGGTGAGGTGAGAACCTTCCCATCACAGAAGGTTCCCCAGGGGAATGAGTTCTCCCCAGAGGTGGGGGCCCCACTGTACCCCGGGGCCCTCCTCTGGTAGGCTGAACCCTTCTCTCCCCTAAGTCGCTAGGGCATTCTCTTCAGCCTCTGCATGCCTTCTCCATTTTGTCAGGCCATATTTACCTTACACTGGACTGACAAATACACTTTGCTCGCCCCCACTAAAATTTTCCATCAGGAGTCTGCAGAATTAGCCCCTCCCATTCAAGGATGCAGAGGGTACAAGAGGCCACAAAAGTGCTGGCCCTTCCATTCAGGTACCAAATAGAACTATAGATGTTTTCTAGTCCCAAAGTAGAAACAAGAGGGGAAGAACACCTTCTAAAGGAGAGAGACAGTGAGGATGGCTGAGGCCTGAAGAGTGACCAGCAATGTGTGCTACAGCACAAGCTGAGATTGGGAAAATCCCTTATTTAAAGCCAGAGTTTCCTAGGGTGCCTGTCCCTGGTTGATCCTTCTGTCTTCTAGAAAAATGTGGGTTACTTTCCTTTTTTTCTTTTAACAGCATTATTATGCCATATTTTACATATCAGAAAATTTACCCATTTCAAGTATACTATTCAGTTATTTTCAGTAATTGTATCAAGTGGTTATAATCATCACTAGATTTCGATCCCTCCCAAAAGATCCCTTCTGCCCTCATCCCATTTCCATCTCCAACCAGGCTATCAACAATCTACTTTCTGCCTGTAAGTTTGCCTTTTCTAAACAATTCATGCAAATGCAATCATATATGTGGTCTGTTGCTCCAGGAGGAGACAATTCCCTGCTCTGGGCAAGATCACTATGAATTCACCGAGAGCAAATAACTGTAACAGAATGTTGGGGTAAAAACAGGCTGATACCAAGGTTTATTCTCAGGGCAATAGGTCACGTGCTGGACTCCCATCCACCTGACTCAGTTGCTGGCCCTGCTCCAGGCTCTGCTCCCCAAGCACTGCCTCTGCTCATGGCTCTGTCTCCACTTGCTCCTGCTGCCCTCTGTCCTTCTCTTTTGACTCTTCACTTCCTCCTACTCTTAGCACCCAGCTCTGCTTCCCCTCTCTCCTGCTTCCCTCTCTCTAGGCTCTCTTCTCTCTTCATAGCACAGAGCTCCACAGCTTCTCTTCTTAAAGAAGTATCAGCTGTAAATAGTTTACTGCCAAGGTGTATGCAAGCAGGCTAAGTATTACTTCACTGCATGTATACAATGGGCAATATTAAGATTTGGTGAGAATCCTGGCCATAAAATTTCCATTTTCTCTACAGGATCCCTTGTGCCTAATGTTTCACTGACTGTAATGTGTTTGAAGTTCATCCCTGATGTAATATGTGTCAGTAGTTTATTCCTTTTTATTTTGGAGCAGTATTCCATTGTATGCATGCACCACATGTTATGTATCCCTTTACCACTTGATGGGCATTTAGGTTGTTTCCAGCTTTTGGCTATTATGAATAATGTGCCATAAACATTTGCATGTAAGTCTGTGAGGACACATGTCTTCATCTCTCTTACATAGATACTTAGGAGTAGAATTTCCAGGTAGTTTTATGCTGAAATTTTAACTGTAAATGCCAAACTATTTTCCAAAGTGGCTTTACCATTTCACATTCCCACCAGCAATTGTGGGTTCCTTTCTCTGCTCAAAGTCAGGGGATAAGCATCCTCTAATCTTTGATCAATTCCCTTTTTTTTATTCTACAAATTAATGAGGTCCTGGAGAATGTTTCAGCTATGCTGTCCTAGCTTGAGTCATGGTTTGTTCTCTATACTGACCTTAAATAGATATTTATGACAGTTACAGTCAAAATGCACATATGTCATTATTTATTTATGTAAACCACTTAGCTCACTGGGCTGGTTCCAATAACCATTTAGTTTTTTACTTTCTCAGGGGATGGTCATGCAAAAGTATTTATGTAAAATCCGAGGCAAACAACAACATACAGCCCCAGGAAAAGCAGATTTCAGAAGCAGGTCACCTCAGGTGGTATTTTCTAGCTATCATAGATATTTTCTAGATAAAGAATACATTGGCCTTAAATTTGTCCATATGCAACTCACAAAGGTGAGAAGCCCAGTTGAAGGGTGTATGTGTAGGAATCTCCAGAGCCCAGAGGAAACAAGCTTAGGAAGAAGTTGCACAAGTTTAGGTTGGATGAGATATACACCAATGCATCTCTCAGATTTTAAGACATTTTTTATTACACAATCCTAGTCAAAGAAATTTGATCAGGAATCTCAACTTTTACAAAAAGCCTTTAGACTGTTTCTATAAAATAATAGGAATATATGTTCAATAAATATGCTCCATGACAAAAAAACATTCAGAGATTCAGGAATGAAACTCAAGACAATTAGAGTCTAAAATTTGCCATTGAGGCCTCGATAATACTGAATGCATTTACTCCCCAGGGGAAAGGGTTGGCCAGGTCGCAACTTAAGGTCATTTGCATAAGAACTTCAGGTGCCTAAAATAGTGAAAATCGGCTGGACTAAGATTTCTAACACTGAAAACAGAGTATTTGTAAGAGAAAATCACCGACTGTTTAGGAGTACATGAGGGAGTTTCTTTGTGGTATCCTGACTGTGGTGCTGGTTCTCAATCTACACGTGTGTTAAAGTATCATAGAAGTACACACGCAGACACACAGACACATAAAGAGTGCGTGCAAAATTTAGTGAAATCTGAGTAAGGTCTGTACCTGATTAATGAAATTATACCAATGTAATTCCCTGTTTTGACCTGTGATTATGTAAGGTATTTTCACTGGAGAAAGCTGGGTGAAAGGTATCTGGGACTCTGTACATCTGTTGAAACTTCTTCTAAGTCTTAAATGAGTTAAAAATAAAGGTTACTAAAAAGAAAGAAAGAGGAAGGAAGGAAGGAAAAAAGGAAGAAAGGAAAGAAAGAAAGAGGGAGGGAGGCAAGAGTAGATCCCTTTCTCCTGTATGCCGTTGGCATGGACAGAAGATAGGGAAGAGGTGGGGGACAGTAAGGTGCCCCCTAAATTTGAAGGCAAAGATTCCTTCTGAAAAGGAAATTATGAAAAATCAACAACAGTAACAAATCCACCCTAAACTGGGATCTATACATGGGAGATATAGAGAGATGATAGAGCTAGAGGGAGAGATAGGGATGGACCAGGTATAGGGTAAGGAAGTTAACGTGTCTAAATGTGGGGTCTGTCATACTGTATCTTTATTTGGCAAGAGTGATAGCTTTCACTGCATCTGCAGACACTACAAACATCAAGAACTGTCCATAGGAGAGGGCCTCGACCCACTGGTCTAATATCCTTGGCGGGGGTACCTATACAGTGGTAGCAGATGCCTCAGGCTATCATAGCTTGGCGACAAGAGCCATTAAGACCATTCTCAAATTCCCTTTGCCGTGATTCCATGCTTCCTTTTAATTGTGCTTTGGCTGTTCATGTAGCTTTTGAATAGCAGGATAATGAACTCATCAGCCAATGCAAGGATTTTAGTTCACTAGACATTAGTTCTTCATAAATTAATAATTTAGCATTCTGGTTCACATATTGATAGCTTGAGGGTTTTATAAGCATGAGTGTATGACTAGAGCCGCGAGTTCTTAACCTGGAAATCAAGGATGGGCTTCAAGGGATCCATTAAGCCCTAAGATTGTATGCAAACATGTGATTGTGTGTACAGCATGCATTTACCAAAAAGAGGGGGCCAAGAGCTTTCACTACATCCTTATACTGACTTTGAAATCTGGATGCACTAACAAAATTAACTTTTAAAAATGTGAGAACCATTCCTAGCCAATGCTCGACAAAGACAGGTGGCAGAGTGGATTTGCCCTATGGGCCAAAGTTTGCCAGTGCTGCTCAGACAGCATCTTATGTGTTCGTAGTCCACACAACTAGACAGAAAAATCACTGAGCTAAAAATTATATCTTAACCTTTTCTTATTTTCCATAGAATCTATATGCAGGGCTGGGCTCAACAAATAGTTGATGAATAGCATTGATGCTTCCTCGGAGCCATATCCAAGAAGAAATAAAAAGCCCATTCCAAAATATGTAGCAACTTTACTGCCTTTCACCCTCTTCTCTCCCTAATGGAAATCTGTCTCTCTAAATGATGACAGCAATTTTTTGGTTCTGCGTGCTGATAAGAAATACCCACGTGCTGGGCCAGCTTGAAGGTCAGATGGCATCTTGGCCTGGGACCAATGAATACAGCTGGTGAAAATTCAGGCTGTCACACACTTGCTAGCCCTGGCTTTCTAGTGCCTTCACCATGAATTATTAGATTATTTATGATAATGAATGGCTGCACGAACAATCATTTTTCAAACCATAACCTCCAACGAGGAGAGATGTCATGACTTGTTGAGCTAAATTTAGAACCATGTGAACTGTGTTCCAGGACTGGCTGCCATGCATCTTCTCTGGACCTTCATTTCCTCTCCTGTAAATGGAGGGTAATAATGCTGCCCTGCTCCTGTGGGCATTGTGAGGCTGGGCTGATAGGGAATCTATGCTCTCCATTTCCTTTGGCTCAACCACATGAAGCGGGGCTGGTGTTTGGTATTATAAGACAGAGAAATGTGTTGTGCCCTGGTATGTGTAGGAATTAAAAACTGTTGTGTTCTAAAACTGGCTTTAAGGCCCTATCAACAGGCTATGAAATCAAGCTGATATTTACTACTGAGTACACATTTAAACATTATATGACATATGCTAATGCCATTTCAGTGTGAAATCGCTGAAACCAGAAACTGTAATTACAGCGATCTTTTTGCTGTTCTGCTCTTTGTCTGACGTCACTCTGCTGAACAGCATGTGAAAAGGAGGGGTCATAACATTCTTCGTTAAGAACAGCCTGTGACATGGTTTTCAGGACAGAATCTTGCAAATACTTCTGGGCACCAAGTAAAATTCTATGGTCTTGAGGGGCCAGCTGTTCTACAGGGCTTGGATGTCATGCTGCTTTATTTTTAAAAGTGGTGGTGGTTTGGTTTTTTTTTTTAAGAATTTTTCACTAGAGTTAGTTTTCACCCACTTTACAGATGCCTTAAAATAATCTGGTGTTGAAAATTCTTCCAACAGCTGCCAGCTGCCTATGGGGTGAGGAAGCTGCTCCCTTGGGGGTGAAACAACACTCGCTGAACAAATGTTTAAAACTGGTGAGTACAGCAGACAAAGGAAAGCTGTATGCATCCGAGTTAGCTATAGCCTGGAGAAGTTTGTTGCAGTCAGAAAGCCCTCAACATCCCTTCGTAGATAGATGATACTGTTTCTAAGAAGACAGCAATCTCGTATGTGGGATAGAGAAAAAGAGGAGGAACCGAAATTGACTCACAGAGATGTTCTTTCGGACCTTAAACTACACTTACCACGGAGAAGGGGAGGGGGTGTGGCTTTGTAACTGGGACCTCAGTAAGGGCATCCTGGCTCAAGTAAGGCTGCCTTGCGCTGGCCAGGGCTGTCTCATTCCAGCAGTGGGTTGGGCAACGCCTGTGTACACAGAGCTTGTGACATTTGTTGAGAGCTTGTGGTGCCTGGATGGAGAGTGCTTTCAGGAATGTAGGTGATTACTAATTATTACTATAATGATGCCTTGGATAAAAGGCCTCCTGGCCTTTAGCAGATAGCAGCTTATATAAACACTCTGCTTTGTTGTAATAAGCTTCCAACCATCAGTGGTTAACATAACTTCGGTTGACTCACCATCAGTGGTCATTAATGGTCGCCCCTCTGATAGGACCCCAAGGAGAACATGTATTTCTGTGTGGGTGAGTCACTGAATCATTAATCAAAAATTTAAGCTGCTGGTGTGTATTTTTTTAATCTAAAATATTTACATTTTTTGAAGCATGTAGTTAGTTACTTCGTAGAATGTCCTGCAGTTTGTCTGATGATTTATGCATCTGTAGCCAGAAACCTCAGGGGTAATGCTGTCCTCCTCTGCATCATATCAGGGGGCACATGACATAAACATGTCCCATTACTGGTTTTCCTGCTACATTTGGTAAAGACAGTGTCTTGCAGGATTCTCCCCTGAGTCATTCCTATGTATTTTGTGAGGAGAAGCCTTAAGACTCCTACTGTAAGACAGAGATTTCCTTTCTCCTCCATGTGTTCATTTAATGTTTATCAGGGTAGACACTGGATTCCTTTTTTGCTCAAAGGGTTAAAATCAATAATTATCATTTATTGTGATAGTGGTGTATACTCATATCATCCTAAAACTTGGCCAGGAGGAGCTCATTTAAGGCCGCTCTCTTGTCCTTTTGCTGTGCTCCATCATTCTTTGAGCATTTCCTTTGTCTCATCTCTTTTTTTTTTCCTACCCCATCCCTAGAGTCAACCATTTCTCTAAGGAGTCCTGGTTCCTTTGGATGAATAATAATATTTTGAAGCGAAGCCCTACAAATGAGGTGTGCTCACTGTTACCAGGATATTTTTACTTCTGGACCTCTTCCCAGACAGAAGTAGGAATATATGTATCTATCTATCTACATGTGTATGTGCATGTATGTACATGCGTGTATGTGTGTACATATGTATGTACACACACGTAAACATCTACACACACTTACACCTGTTTCTGTTTCTGTATATATATATCTATATAAAGTTATAAGCTCACATTGATTACATGGTGTTAGATCACATCCACTTGCAATCTAGCACCACAAGAATTATTTTAGCCTTTCTGCTCTCTGTATTTGTAATTTCCTTCTGACAGCAAATCGTCGACGTATTTATTTATTTTCTCAGTCATCCGTGTATGTCACCAGTCCCTCAGCTGCCCTGGCCAAAAGCTTGTCCTCTCACCATGAGTCCCCAAAACAGGCAAATTCCTTCCCTTGCCATAGGGGGGCTTTTAATCAGTAATGACTTGCATGGTCAGAATTAACACACTTTGTGTAAATTCTGCCCACTTGTGCCACTGCCTGGACTCTGGGAATCAGTGGAGAATAATCACAAGGTTTACCTTGCCTGCTGTTGCTTAGCAGAGTGGATGTTATTTTCTCCTTTGCCATGGCAGTGACCCCTTTAGAAGTGGAATTTTCTCTTCTGTTTCCTCCTCTCTGATTAGTCATAGGACAGTAAAGGGATTGACTGAATCTATTCAAAGATGTGGAGAACTCAAGCTTCTCCCGGGAAGAGCATATTATAAATATTGTAGAGCTGTAGAAATCAGAGCTGGAGGCCAGGGGTCAGCTGATCCCCTCCCCACGGCTGCCAGATGGTTGGCTCTTCTCATACATTCTCAAAGCCACCATCTCACATCCTAGATACACCTCTTTAAGTCATCTCAAACTCCTCCAGCCTCTCCACTCCTGCCCCCGGGGCCCGTTGTCACCTGGGAGGCAGTGAGCTTCCTCACACTTCAGCTGCTGTCAGTTTCTCCCTGACCCATGTTCTGTGGTGGCCAGGAGGCCCCCCACCAAGTCCTTACTGTTCCAGAGAGCAGGACGAATCCTTTTCTAGGAGCTAAATCATCCCAATGCATTTAGATGTTTCCTCACAGAATTTTCAAAACCAGATCATTATGTTGTGCCACATTTACCAAATGAAGTTCAAAACCCCATTGCTTAAAAAAAAAAAAAGTAAACAAAAACTCTCCACCATTTCTAAAATTACTTTTAATGCTGTCACCATTTATGTTGTTAGGGAAAATGGATAATAATGGGGCCCACAGTCTTACTTACGGTCCAGAACTGACTTTGCTTTAGAGAAGCAAGGAGAGCTGCCTGGCAACACAATGCATGGCTGTGCATAAACTTTGTTTACAGCCAAGGCTGGAGTAGAGGAACAGATGGTAAGAAAATCGGATTTAAAGAAGGGACAGATGCGCCTGCATCGGGGAGCTCAGTAAATCTGTTGGCTCTGGTTTGCATGCAAGGATAAAGTCTTGCTACCCACAGCAGCCCCCACCCAGTTCACTGCTGCTTTTGACTGTTTGCAGCTTGTCTCTGAGGATGGTTAATACAGCCCATTACAAGCGTGTATCTCATCCCTCCCACGGGGAATGTGTTTTCCCAGGGATTTGTACGTTCCCTATCCTTTTATGGAAAACAGTTTCTTGATCATCCATGTGATTGTATATCTAAAATTTCAAGAATATTTAAGCCATTAACCCTGCTTGCCTATAGAGGATGGGATTATATTTCTACGATCTTTGAAATATTTACAATGAGCATGTATAACAAGGAAAAATAAGCATAAACATTTATGCTTAGCACATTCATAAGCACACCCTCCCCTCTTTGTGCTTCTTCATTCCTCGGGTGGTTTTCTCTGTGAGGGCAAAGCAATTTTAAGAGGCTAACCCCCACAATACATAAAATAGCTATTACAAATGCTATGTGAGAGCTACCCAAGCGTACTTTCCCCTCCTTCCTAAGAGAAAGTGTAAGCTGTCCTTCAGTTATGATTTACATTTGCTCCCTCAGGGAGGTGAAGGAGAAGAACACACATTCTGTCCCAGTGATGTGTGATTGGATTTCACAGACATTTATGTTAACATAATTCTATCTCAGTGGTGTATAGTTGGATTTAACAGCTTCAATTATTCAATGCTGGGATGAAGTTGTAAACAATTTTATTCCAAAATGTCCCCCTATATATTTATGGCAATTCTGTGACTCCCATGGCCATCCCACAAGTCACATTCCTACAGAAACACGGCAAGACAATCCTCCCATTCCTGTATGTTGGCAGCTTGTCACTCCTGGGCCACATCAAGTTCTGTGAACGTCACTCCTTCAGATTCATCCTGAGCAAAAGATGAAACAACTTGAGTAAAAATGCTGTATATTGTAGAAATAGTTCCCTACAAAATAGTCACAGGTTAAAAAAAAAAAATGAAAGTATCTTAACAGGACTGATGGCAAAGCACCCCCAGAAGTGGTTTCAGTGACACCATTAGACCTCCTTTGCCTGGACTCCTTGCCTCCTGGTATGGGCAGGGCCTGTGCAGCAATTTTGGCATAAGCCTGGTTCTCTTGGATGGCACACAGTCTTCAAATAAACTACCCAGGCATTTCCCATCAGCCCCCCAGAGCTCACCTAAGGCTTGCAGTCAGCTCTATATGTCCAGTGTGTCACCCTTCCCAAATCTCTGGCAGGCAACACTGGGATCCGGGGCCCGGGTTTGTTGGGACCCCCCAGTCTTTCACAGCACTTGGCTTTCTTACCCAGTGGGCAGAGGACCCAGAGGGGAGCCCTGGACTGACAGAACAGAGGCCAGCTTGGACACAGGCCACCCTAGTGACAATTTGCCGCTTCTGCCTTAAGTGAGCCGTGTTCTTTTGCTTCACACAGCCTCTGAGTCTCCCACTGCCTCTGATTCTTTAGCTTCAACACACTGCAGTAACCAAGCCAGGGAAGGAGCCACTGGCAAGAAATCCCTGAAAGAAGCCCCTGTGGCATATCCACTACAGCCTTCTCCCAGTTGTGCCTCCTTTTTGGGAGCCCTTTTCTCTGCATACTGTAAGTATGCCCTCCCCTGGGTTCTGTGGAGCTCCAACTTGCTTGATGGGGTGGACTCTGAGGCATTGGTTGGACTCTGAGGCATTATACTAAGTGAAATAAATCAGAGAAAGACAAATACTGCATGATTTCACTTATATGTGGAATCTAAAACAAACAAACAAACAAAAACCTGAACTCGTAAATACAGAGAACAGATTGGTGCTTGCCAGAGGTGGGGGCACAGGAGATAGGGGGTGATTTTACAAACTTACAGTTAGAAAATAAGTAAATCATGGGGTGTCACATGACTATAGGTAATACTACTGTACTGTATATTTGAAAGTTGCTGAGAGAATAAATCTTAAAACTTAGCGCAAGAGAGAAAAAAAATTCTGCAGCTATGGGTCATGATGGATGTTAGCTAGACTTAATGTGGCAATCATTTTGCAATACATACAGATACTGAATCATTATGTTGTACACCTGAAACTAATATAACATTATCTGTCAATTATATCTCAATTACAAAAAAAAACTTCTGTTTGCATAAGTATCACCCAGGTGCTTTTTTTAAAATGCAGATTCCCGGGCACTCCTGCCTCAACCATTTAGGTTCAGTGGGTCCAGGGTGAGGCCCAGGAACAAGAGACTTCCCTGGTGTGAATCCGATGGCAGAGGATTTTTGGTAAAAGGCCTTAAAAAGTAACTTTTGTCCTTTGCTTTTTTTACTTTACACAATCCCCCTTCCCACTTGCTTGAATTATGCTAGAACTTTAATTATTACCCATATACATATATAAATACATACATACATATATATATATATATACACACACATATGTGTATCTCCTTAATCTTTCTCTTGAATGCTAGGTTTAGATTTCCATCAGCCAGCAGATATTTCTACCTCGATGTATTGTAGATACTTTTGAAACACTTTGAAAATATAATTGTGAAAAGTTATTTCCTCCCATGACATTTGAAATTAAAGGCCACTCTTTGAGGCCCACTTAGGTAACAAAAGGCTGGTGTCAGCCAAAATGTGGAAGCCACTCAGGGTGAAGAAAAATTTGTTTCAGTTTCATATAAAGTTAAAAAAAAAGTGTTGCTAGTGGCTGAATAAACTATAACACTCCAGACCAGAAAACAATTTGTTTCCATAGTCTGTAAATTTGGGACTAGCTCATCTCTTCTGCTGAAGATGTGAACAGATACTCAAATATTTCATCATCATTGAGTAAATTATTACCTTGTGTCCCTAAGACGAAGATAGCTCTGAGGGCAGCATTTGACAGCTGTAGGCATTTGCTATCTGTTGGTTGTTTCTCAAATGGGAGTGGTGAAAATTCCAACTTGAGTTATTATATTCCCCTGAGGATTCAAATCTGTAGTCATAATCAGGTTCCTTTTGTTGTGAGGAGCAAAAACCCTCTCAGTTTATCTAAAGAGTTGAAGTTTATTGTAAGGTACAATGCAACATGAGGAAAATAGGGATGATGACCCTCAAGGGAGAAATGGACATCTTCAGAACGCAGTGACAGCTCCAGGGACAACAGTGTTCACATACGTGCTGTGTGCTTGCATGGGCAGGAACCACTCTGAGTCCCGCCTGTGCTCACTCGTTTCGTTTTGCAGCAGCCTTATAAGAAGCAGTATCATTGTCCCCACTTGACAAGGGGGAAACGGGCAGAGTGGTGAAGGAATGCCTGCCAGTTGGTCTGGCTCCAGACCCTGTGTTTGTTCCCACTGTGCAATGCAGCAGCCCTGCTGGGTGTCCCCTGGGACACCTTGTGGCCCATGTCCCTGCAGTGGGGGCTTCGTGGCTTCCTGGTTGGGGTCTCTTGCTCTGGCTGCTGCCAGCTCACTCCGTGGCCTCTCCCTCGAGGTTTTCATCTGCCCCCTTTGAGCGCAATGTCACTGACGGTGTCACTGGCACGGCCCAGGGCAGCCTTGGTGCCCTCAGTGAGGTATGCAACCATGGCCTCATCCGAGCAGATAGAAATGTACAGGCATCACCACGGTGTGAGAAAGCAAGAGAGAAAATGGCAAACCAGGGGACAGAAAAACAGTAATATCAAATGAACTCTTTTTTTTATGTGAATATTTTATTAAGCAAGAGACAAACTGTCCGTGAACTGGGAGACTTCAAACCTGAAATTGGTATATGCAGCTCAGAGGCATGACAGGGTGGCTTAAAGTGAAAATAGGGAACTTGTTTAAGCTTTATGATGACTGGTTATTTCTTTTTTTTTTATTAAGGTATCATTGATATACAATCTTATGAAGGTGCCACATGAGCAACATTGTGGTTACTACATTCACCCATATTATCAAATCCCCCCCACGCACCCCATTGCAGTCACTGTCCATCAGCACAGTAAGATGCTATATGCTATAGAGTCACTACCTGTCTTCTCTGTGCTATACTGCCTTCGCTGTGAGGCCCTACATTATGTGTGTTAATCGTAATGCCTCTTAATCCCCTTCTCCCTCCCTCCCCAGCCACCCTCCTCACCTCCTTCTCTTTGGTAACCACTAGTCCCTTCTTGGAGTCTGTGAGTCTGCTGCTGTTTTGTTCCTTCAATTTTGCTTTGTTGTTATACTCCACAGATGAATGAAATCATTTGGTACTTGTCTTTCTCCAACCGACTTGTTTGACTGAGCATAATACCCTCTAGCTCCATCCATGTTGTTGCAAATGGTAGAATTTGTTTTCTAATAGCTGAATAATAATCCATTGTGTATATGTACCACATCTTCTTTATCATTCACCTACTGATGGATACTTAGGTTGCTTCCACATCTTGGCTATTTATAAATAGTGCTGTAAAAAACATAGGGGTGCATATGTCTTTTTGAATCTGGGACCTCATTTTTTTTGGGTAATTCCTAGGAGTGGAATTCCTAGGTCAAATGCTATTTCTATTTTTAGTTTTTTGAGGAACATCCATATTGCTTTCTACAATGGCTGAACTAATTGACATTCCCACCAACAATGTAGGAGGGTTCCCCTTTCTCTGCATCTCACTAGCATTTGTTGTTGTTTGTCTTTTGGATGTTGGCCATCCTAACTGGTGTGAGGTGATATCTCATTGTGCTTTTAATTTTCATTTCCCTGATAATTAGCGATGTGGAGCACTTTTTCATGTGCCTGTTGGCCATCTGATATTCTTCTTTAGAGAAGTGTCTGTTCAGATCCTCTGCACATTTTTTAATCAGGTTATTTGCTTTTTGGGTATTGAAGCATGTAAGTTCTTTATATATTTTGGATGTTAACCCCTTATCAGATATGTTGTTTATGAATATATTCTCCCATACTGTAGGATGCCTTTTTGACCTACTGATGAAAACATTAAAAAAAAAAAACATTTTAGTTTGATGTAGTCCCATTTGTTCATTTTTGCTTTTGTTTCCCTTGTCTGAGGAGATGTGTTCAGGAAAAAGTTGCTCATATTTATATTCAAGGGATTTTTGCCTATGTTTTCTTCTGAGAGTTTTATGGTTTCATGACTTACATTCAGGTCTTTTATCCATTTTGAGTTTATTTTTGTGTATGGAGTTAGACAGTAATCCCGTTTCATTCTCTTACATGTAGCTGTCCAGTTTTGCCAAGACTAGTTGTTGAAAGAGGCTTTCATTTCCCCATTGTATATCCATGGATCCTTTATCATATATTAATTGGCCATATATGTGTGGGTTTATATCTGGGCTCTCTAGTCTGTTCCATTGGTCTATGGATCTGTTCTTGTACCAGTACCAAATTGTCTTGATTACTGCGGCTTTGCAGTAGAGCTTGAAGTCGGGGAGCATAATGGCCCCAGCTTTATTCTTCCTTCTCAGAATTGCTTTGGCTATTTGAGGTCTTTTGTGGTTCCATATGAATTTTACAACTATTTATTCTAGTTCATTGAAGAAGGCTCTTGGTATTTTGATAGGGATTGCATTGACTGTAGATTGCTTTAGGCAGGATGGCCATTTTGACAATATTAATTCTTCCTATCCATGAACATGGTATGTATTTCCATTTATTGGTATCTTCTTTAATTTCTCTCATGAGTGTCTTGTAGTTTTCAGGGTATAAGTTTTTCACCTCCTCAGTTAGGTTTCAAATGCACTCTTATAGCCATGAGTTCAGAAGGCATGGGAGCCATTCGCTGGGGGCTCCTAGAACCACTGGGGAGAAATTTGAAGAGACTGAAAATATCGTAGGCTAGGAAGAGTGCTTTTGACTATTATTTTATTCTCTTTTTTCTCTCCAGCCTGGTATGGACTGGAGAAGCATGGGTTAACTATTTGTACTATAGCCCATCCTCCTCCAGATGGAGACGCTCACTGTTGAGTTTATTTAAGCTAATTTCCTTTTCCCTATCATCACATCAAGACCAAGGCCTGCAGAGCACCCCCTCCTCCACAAAGCACCCCCCCCATGACCCTACGTGTGTCAAGCACTGTTCTGGGCACTAAGGACCTAGCAATTAATAAAAGACACAGGCCCTGCGAGCTGAAACATATATCACAATTGGGAAGGGTCCTGGCCTGCACCTCACACAAGACAGGAATCTTCTCTACCCCAGGCCTGCTACCAGTCAGCAGCCTCAGCTTCACATTTCCAGTGATGGCCCCGTCTCTCCGTAGAAAGCTCTTGCCCAAAGGTGTAAAAATCTGTTTTCCTGCAATGTCTATTTATTGGCCTAGGTTTCATTCTCTGGAGCCAGACAAAATAAATGTATTTTCATCTGACAGCCTTTCAAATATTGGTCAATCTACAAACTCCCATCCTCACACTTGCTCACTCATTTCTCTGCCATAATCCCCTCTCCTTGCCAAGCACAGGTTAGACCTTCTTCCCTTATCTTTCCCCCATTCTTGCCTTACCACCTCACAGCCTCAGAGTCTAGAACATTTTAACTTCTTTTGCTTAGACTTTATTTCTTCTTCATGCTGTGTCTCCCTTTTTCCTCCCACTGAATCTTGGCATCCACTGGTAAGTCTCTACCATTTCTGTCTGTATATTGTGCTAGTTTATTGACATCCTGAACAAGCTGGCATTGGACAGATTGTGGTAAGTGGTATTTGCAAGGAAGTGGCAAATTGGCTCCTTCTTCTGGGCTTTATTTTGTCTTTGATTGGGTCTTTTATCTCTTTAATTTATATTACTATGCAGAATTATTTAAGAAACCCAGTCAAGAAGTCCATTTATGGTAATTATTTTAATCAGTAAAATAAAATATAATGAAACATATATACCAGCAAGCCCTTGGACAGATAAAAAAGAAGCAGAGTGAGCAAATGAATGAGTGGGTGGATGTCTTCTTGCCCAGTAATTCTTGGAATCAGTGTTCTCCATTCTTTCCTTTATTCCTCCTCATACCAAAAAGATAAAGTAGATAGCCTTTCAAATCAAAATAGCAACATTGCAGTCATTACAATTGCTAGTTTATTTATATTAAATAAATATATAATCCCATCACACTGGATGGCATAATTTAACAAGTATTTATGTTGTTGAATCCATGACCCAGTTTCCTGAAGACATCTGTTTTCTAAAAGGGTTTTTTTCAAACTGAGATTAAAAGGTAATACTCAAGTAGGGTTGCCAAAAAAAACAGAGGATCCTCAGCTCAATTTGCATTTCAGATAAACAGCAAATAAAATTTTTAGTATAGGTATGTCTCAGATATTACATGGTACAGACAGACTAAAAAAGTATTCATTGTTTATCTGATATTATTTTAATATCTTGTACTTTTCTTCTTTTTTTTCTCTTTTTTTCTAAATTGGACAGCCCCACACTCAAGAAATAAGGCTCAGATGTTCATCTAAATTCCTGCCCTTCCACCACCTCCCTCTTCTCCAACCTCCATCCCATTTATGGTTTTCTTTTTTTGTTTGTTTCTTTTCAAATAAAAGATTTCAGTTCTCCCTGGTGTCATGGCTTCACTTCTGTTCCAAGGGGCTTTTGTTTTTTTCCTCTTTGACCACATATAACAGTGCGTAGCCTTTGTTGCTTTCTATTGTGGAATAAGAAATGTGTATAGGATAAACTTCTGGGGAAATGGGCAGAAGCAACTTCTCACTGATGACTAATAGTTAAACAGCTGCAAACAGGTGGAACTAGTCTCGCTGTGCAGACAGATGCAAATTCTAGGGTCATCCTGGGTGGAGATCTGTGACAGTAAAACACAATTTCTTGTCAACAGAAATGAGTTTACTGAATGTCATTTCCTATGACCTATGTTTCTTTTTGTACTTAAAAGCTGGATTCATTTCCTTTTTTTTAATACCTCAAAGACTCCATTCTTCTTTCACCCCATTAGCTCTTGAGACCATCCATGAAGGTCATGGAACACTCCACAGATTGACTTTTCTGAGGGCTTTGGGCCCTCCCATACCTCAAAGGGCTTTATCTTTACTAGGCTGAGGAGTCCAGAGTTGAGACGGGCCGTGTTACCATCTCTGTCAGCCAGGATTGTGCTATTGTGCTGGCCATGTATGATTGATTGATTTCATTAGCGTTCATGGGTCTGAGTAGATAAATGTTTCAGATCATCAATTCAGAAAAAAAGTCATTATTCTTGTTGAGAATAGGCTTTGTCAGTGTCTGTGGCATGAGGCTTTAAATTATTAGGTAATTATTGTCGACATACTAGATAACGCAAGCTGGTTCAATGTACAAGTATGTGCTTTACCTCTCTGGAAATGATAAACTATGCAGCAAGCTATTACTTGTGTTTAACAAAATACTACTCAGAATAGTCTATGTGACCCTAATAAATTAACTTAACCATGGATACCTAGAGGTATTAAAAGTAAACAATTTAGTAGAGCAAATATTAAACTGTCCATGAGCATTGAAGAACAAACCCAAGATCCCATGAACTTTGGGTTCTCAAACTTTCATATACATAAAAATGTCCCAGAGATTTTTCTAAATATAGACTTCTGTGTCCCATTCCCAGAGATTCAGTAGGCTGTGTAGAATTGTGGTCAAGAGCATGGAATCCAGAGCCAAACTAATCTGCCACGTTCCTACCTATGGAACCCTCTCATATCCCAGGTTTCCTCATCTGTAAAATGGGGACAGTATTGCCTATCACATGGAGTTGTGAGGATTAAGAGTTACTATCTGTAAAGCACTTAGTAGACCACCATAAATGTTAGCAATTTTTTTCAAACCCAGTACTCCACATGACTGTGGCACTGGCAGTCCTCATCCCACACTTTACTGAACACTGCAGTGTGGCCCCACACTAGCTTTTGACTCAGTTTGGCCTGCCCATAAATTAGTTAATCTCTCTGTGTATCAGTTTATGGCCAGTAAAATAAGTCTGAAAATTCTTAACTATCTCACAGATCCA